GAAGTCTGATGAGAATCTGATCTGGAAATCATATAAAAGTTAGCAGAAAGAATCATATGCGGAAATCCTTCAAAAACCAATCATCATGTCTTTGTCCAATTTTTTTTTCAACAATATGGAGAATGTAAAGATGTATTCAGTATTGGAGTATGCTGTGTGTCATGATAACATTGATCATATGACTATGAGTGGCCATTTGGAATTTTAACATTTGGGGTGTGTTTCCTTTGAATATCTTAAGGAGTCATTTACAAGGATTAATGACAGTAATGGTCCTTGTTATTCCTGCGTTATTTTATACATAATCAGATATCTGAGAGCCTGGTTATATTGATATTTGAAGTTTGTCATCAATTAATTAATCAATTAATGAAAACCTCAGGACGTACAATGGGGACCATATGAAAAACATGAGTGGATATTCAAAATTGTGGTTATCAGCCATTTTGTGTTTGACAGTTTAAATTTGTTGTACCATATATATTTCTCAGGACTTTCTGAATTCTTTCTGAGAGGAGTACTGGTATATGGTCCTGTGTCATTGCCAATTACCAACTTAACTTAATAAGATAGCTTTTTTTACAAATATTGACAAACCAATAATAAGGTCTTCAGTTATTTCCAGTCAAATATTTTGTACCAGACTTATCCCAAAATGCCCTAAATGCTGTGATCTATTTCATGATAGTGGCTGCCAAAATCACAGGAAGATCTCTTGTATCAGAGCGTTCACTTTATAATAATAAAAATAGATGTCAGTCATTGTAAAGACACTGCCAACTGCTAAGGGTTGAGTCTTTACTTTTTAATATTTGACAAACATAGACCAGACGTTTTGAAAATCTGACTGTACACATCTGGAATTTTTTTAGAGATATCAAAGAATATATGCTTGCATGGTGTGTTATAGATGATTCAAGGACAGGAGATAATTGGTATCAAGTTCATGAAAAATTGATTTCTTTATGTTTGAAGTTGTAAGTATAAAACAGAACCAGAACCCAGGAATGTGTTGTTATTAGTTAGTTAAGTAGTACAGGGGTAATAAACACTTACCCTGTGATACATAAATCGATCACTACTACCAGAGGGAGAGTAGGGGAAGGGGGGAGCACTGGCAGTTATAGACAAGGAAGCTGGTGGTGGCATCCTGACCCAGTAATTGGATTTATTATGTGTTACATTCTTTTTGAACTCTGATAGTTTAGCCCACTGATAAGGTTCTGATATTTCAAGTTCTTTGAAGGAATTATTCAGGGTGGGATTGAATGACCGTGACTGGTGTGGAATGGCAGGAGCCTCTGTTGGAGGGTGAAATCAGTAGTGAGATGAAGGGAAAAGGATAGAAAGGCATAGGCCCTGAAAAGGGCTGGATGGAGGGAAGGCAAGGAGAGAGATGGAGATTTAAAGGATAGATCAAGGGGGAAGGTCAGGGGAAAGGTTTTGTTGGTAGAGGATAGTCAGGCTGGAAGGTGTAAGAACCAAAGTGCATGATGAATGTGATTAAAGATGAAGGGAAGGTTGGACTCAGAGGGACAGGGATATGTTTAATGTGGAGGACAGGAAGCAGGGGCAAGATGGAGGATAGGGAGGGGGAAGGAGTGAGGGAGGAAAATAATAAAGGTCAGAAGGAAATAGGCTGGGAGTAGGACAAAAGGTATAATCCAGAGGGAAGGTGAAAAAGGAGGGAAAGAGTCAGTGATGAGAGGGATACTAGGTCGGCCAAAAGTGATGGACAGGGGAAAGGTAGAGATACATATGTATGTCATGGAGAACATATTGGAGATATTCTATTGATGATTTGTTCTCAATTCTGTTGTTCAACAGATGATGGATGATTTATGTTTGGTCTGACATATCTTTAGTTTAAGATGCTGAATACCACTTGTGTCATAGTTATCAGAATGACTGGCTTGTTTACCTATCTCAGTGCTCATCTGTTTTATCAGTGTTGGGGGTGGTTTTTTAAACAGATAACGCTCAAACAGGAGATAATTTCTAAATTATGGTTAGCATGTAAATAAAAATATAATTTGTTATGAAGGGAGATAACTCTAGTTTAAAACTTACTCTCGTAAATTGAGATGTGTCTACCTTTGGGGAATATAGGGGAGGACTTCATTGGTTAACATCTTAATGAAAAGAACTACAGCAGTTATTTTATTCATATAAAAAAGCAAATTCCTCATCATAATCATAATGCCGGGCATCTGCATCATTACATACTTGTTAAGGGAGAAAATTTTACATGTTGTCAGGTAGTTACATTGTAAGGTAGAAAACATTAATTATAAAGAAAGGGAGATCACTCCAAATATTGTTCACCTTGTAAAACTAATTATTTGATTTTTATGTCTTTATTGTTGATCTGACTACTAAATGTATATAGTGAGATGGTGTATGTCTATATATTTTCCTTTCCATTACAAGAGAGTGTTACTCTGGAGCAGTAAGATCGGCTCAACCAGATTGTCAATTAGTTTATATACTTTCCTGAAAATGGTTATCCTGTGAGTTATTTAATTATTAGAAAAGCCCGATTTGAAACCTCAGTGTCTCTGTTATCAAAGTTTTCATTTGCCTTATTTTTTTGCCATTTTTTAACTCTACCTAATGTAAAATGTAACTTAAATGATTTTCGGAAAGCTGATCTGGTAAAGGGAAATAACTCTATGTAACAGCTACTTTGTAAATGTATATAATATTTACCATATTCATCATATTATTATATTTCAAACAACTCTACATTATTTACTTTATAAAGGGAGATAACTCTATATTACAGCTACTTTATTAGATATTAGTATGATATTTACCATATATTCATTATGTTATTATGGTTAAAATATAATGAACATTACATTACATTCTTTTTAAAAAAACTAACATAAAACTAATTTTCAAAGGGAGATAATTCTACATCATAAATACACCAGGGGGAATAATTATATATTTGATCTATATGAAATTGAATACCATGTAGTCCTGTTCATGCAGGATTACACTTTTTCCCTTTGACATTAGTTATGTACATGTAATGAAATCTAGATTTATGGGTATGATATCGGGAAAACAATAATGACCCTGTACTCTGTTGTAAAATTGTGTATGTGATGTCTAATGGTCTTTCCCGACACCTGTGATAAAATGTAATATGGTGTGTGCCTCGTAAAGTTATGTTACCAGCTCATACCATTAGACAGGTAAGTTTATATGATTAAGATAAAGATACAGAGGCCAGTGACTATCTGATGCTGTCAAACTCCACACATCAAACAACACCTATTTCTAGCCATTACATCAGATCACCACCTATTAAAGGTTAAAAGAGATTCCAGGAGTATTTTATTTCTATGATGAAGTTAACCCCCTCCTCATACTAAACATATTATCAATAAATTTTGCCTCCTCCAAAAGAAGCACCAACGGAAATGGTCTCAGTTATAATTCTTATCTGACTATCATCTTACCATGGCATGAGTATGTGTCCTGGTAGGGGGTTTTATACTGGGATATCTAGCTGGCGGGGATACAGACCTATGACAACTGACATTCATAACAGTGCTTTTAATTATTTTATCCCATTTATTCCCTGTCTACTGTAATATAAGTATATATGTAGACAGAACAAAAAAATCTTGGACCAGGCAGTGTTCCGGTGATGAATGCATACATTTTCTGCCATATATCTCAACAGACATCTGTACTGTAAAGACCTGTGGCTAATGCACAGAATGTTACTCTATGTGGTTTGGCTAGAGGGAAATATGGAAATGTGTGGATCTGGGTAAATCAAAGGATTTATTAGAGACTTCGTTTAAAAGTGGTCTTAACTTTACATCACATGGAAAACATGTTAGTGTAAATGTCAATGTTAGATTAGGCAGCTTCAGATAAATGGACTGTAATTCATAGGTGAAACTTCAGCTCTGCCAAGGAGACTACAGACAAAAACGCTATTTCTTATACTTGAATTTGACGGAAGATACCTGTAATTGCTACACAGGTTTTTGGACAATGTTGAAGACGCATCACACCGTGTTTGTATGACTTTTGTAATGATATTACTGTAAAGGTTATGGGCCTTGTGTGGACCTTGCCTCAATGGACCTTAATGGACAGCAGAATCAGATCAATAGAAAAAAAGGTTTATAATCAATCAGCTGAGTTTATAGGGTGTTTTATTTCACCCCAAGATAATTGGATATTGTCTGGATATGATGGATTTATCAGTGTAAGATTTGCTGAGTTTGCGTAAGTGACAACAGGGGACTATTTAATGATATCATACAGGACACTTCCGTGGTGATCACTTGAGACCACATGGTCATAGGAGACACTTGCCTTGGAGCGACCCCACAGGACGATGTTGTTATATAATATACTTGCTTAGTGACCACATGAAACCACCTGATCACTCAAGTAACTACCTCGGTGACGAAGAGACCCAGTGACAGTGTAAGATACTTCCTAAGTGACAACAGGAGACACTACCTTAGTGACAACAGGAGACACTACCTTAGTGACAACAGGAGACACTACCTTAGTGACAACAGGTGATACTTCCTTAGTGACAACGGGAGACACAACCTTAATGACAACAGGAGACATTACCTTAGTGACAACAGATGATACTTCCTTAATGACAACAGGAGACACTACCTTAGTGACAACAGGAGACACTTCCTTAGTGACCACAGGTGATACTTCCTTAATGACAACAGGAGACACTACCTTAGTGACAACAGGAGACACTACCTTAGTGACCACAGGTGATACTTCCTTAGTGACAACAAGAGACACTTCCAGAGTGACAACAGATGATACTTCCTTATCGAAAACAGGAGACAAAAATTGACGACAGGAAACATTATTTATCTTAGATGACTCATCTGCAGTGACTACATGAGCTAATATACCTCAACTGTGACACAAGGCACTGCCTCATTGTGGACAGAGACCCTGTGATCACTCGAGACTACCTCAGTGACAACAAGAAATCCAGTAACCAATTTAGACCTCAACAGTGACACAAGGCACTGCCGCAGTGATGACAGAGACCCTGTGATCACTCGAGACTACCTCAGTGACAACAAGAAATCCAGTGATCAATTTAGACCTCAACAGTGACACAAGTCACAGCACCTCACTAACTTTATGAAGCACTACGTTACAGATATGGAACCCTCATCAGACTTGTTCCCATACGTCCTCGGATGGTGAGTGTCATTTCTATCTAATCTAAAGGTAACACAGCAAATTCTTTGCAGATTTCTTCTCATGTAAAAGGATAAATATGTCTGTTTATCTGCTTATGAATGGGTAGAAACATTTTCTAGTTGGTGTAACGCAAAATTTGCTTGATGTCAGCATTGTATAGAAATTGATATATCAACTATCAGTATAATTCTCATTCTAAGAGGGAAATCTTTGTTTTACTAGGTATGGGGACACTTTACTGACAAGCTTTATGTAATGTTTCCTTCCAATGTTTTCATGTAAAGGAGTCCATGGAACTAGCAGGTCTGATGTAAAGTTCTTTACTAGGTTCTAACTGTACTTTTGATAAGACATGGATTATACCATAAACTTCATTCATTTTACAAAAACTGCAAAATAAACTACATGTAATTGTTTTTATTATGTTTTTGCCACTGAAATAATAAAAATTGATCAACTTTATGAAAAAAAAAACATCATTACTTATGATGACATTATTTTGTCAGTGATGATATAACTTAAGAAATTTTGACCAATCAAAGCGATGCTTTCTAGTCACTGCATTGAAACTTACTGATTTTTCTGTTCGGAGGCAAATGAAGCAAAGGTTGAATAAGTTGGTTCTCCATCAGATCTGTAATATGTGTATTTCTTTGATTTGTAATCAACTATTACCAGGCAACGGCGTAAAATGGAAGAACAACACATAAAACTTTTCACTCATAAAAAAATATAAATATTCTGTCATAACCATGAAACAAGGAAACCATTAAAAATCTTCTATATATCATCATCTTAAACAAAATGATAGAAGTACATGTAGCTGGGGAAAGCCTGTATGTTCGCTCAGGTTACCCTATATCTATTCAGGCCTTGCTGGGGAATCAAACTCTGGCCACCCAGGTTAAAAAGCATGTTTAACTTGCAGACACTGTCAACTTGACCTTGAAAACAATTTTCCTGACCTTTGGTTTACCAGTAATAACAACTTCAAATCTCTCCAAAAACAGAAGTTAGGTATGAAGATGGCTGAAACTCTATGGGAGGAAGGAAAAGGCCAGGTTGTATCCATGTCTGGTTAAACATGTTGGGTTTTGTCTCTAATTCTGACATATGCCAGAGATTTGAAGGTGAAGAGTTATCTTGTCATCTGGTGGTAGAGATATACCAATGGTCTGGTAACTGCTGTGTTAGCCTCATTATAGGGAGGCCATGTTGTGTTGACAACCAGTACGATTTGATTTAATTAAATCATGTCTGCCGATAGGATAAGACCGGAATTGCAGCATTTTGGAACAGAAACAGTACAAAATTTGGGGTTTGTATCCATGTAATTCATTAACAAATATTTCCTCATGAATATGTTTTCCTAACTACCTGAAGAATTTTAATTCAATTAATATAAGGCCTGCAGAAAGTTTGAATTATATTGGTGGTGCTTGAGAAGATCTCTCTGAGTATACATGGACTTCACTCTGTTTTTATCACTGGGACATGGCTGATGTTGACTACAGGTAATGCTTTTTTGTTCTTACAGTAATACTTGATATTTATTGTACATAGCTCCTTACATGGAACGAGACAAAATACAGATTTTAAGTTGTATAATTGCGAAAAAAACTGCACAATTCTAAGTGACTCTATTGACAATCCTACTGTGTGTTTTTCTGACGTCATTTAGGATAATGATATATGACCTTTTAAGTTTTTTGGGATTGCATAATTTAGATAAAGATTAAATGAGAAAGGCTATTGATCATTAAGTGTGTCATGATATCTGTGTAACATGCTTAGATGATATGTCACACCTGTACAAATACAGGATTGGTAATGAACCTGATGAGTCGGTGGTTTATATTATATACAAATGACTGGGAATTAGTGGAAGATATGCATACTAAAGTTTTGGTAATTATTACTGAAATGGAAACGTGATTCACAGAAACCACTACCATAAATATTCAAAGTTCTGCTTTTAAGAATAGTCTGAAAATCAGAACATGATTTTTTAATGAATTTTTTCAAATTTTCATTTGTAGTTTTAGATTTGAATATTTTATAGAAATATTAAATAAGAATTTACACAAAAGTATTGTTAATATCTACAATGTATGAAATCCTAGTAAAATTAAACCAGTTGAGCATTGAATCTTACTGAACCAATGACTACCCACTCTCAAAGTAACAGCTGTATGGAAATATTACTGATGATGTCATTTATGAGGGATGATGTTTGGTGAAACTTTATAAGGTTGTTTGATGACCTGACATTTGTTTGAAGTTTATTTTTTTTATAAAATGATATTCCATGGCATTTGTTCAGTGATAATATTTGACTTTAATGATCTTCCATGCATTTTCACTGCTGCTTGTTTGTTTGCTGGATCTGAGCAACCAGGTTATCTTGTAGTACTGGTGGCTGTCGTACAGAACATCATGCTGGTGGCTGTCACATTCTGTCGTAATCAACTGGGGTTAAGTGTCTTGCCTAAGCACACAAACATGACAGTCTAGGTTGAACGAATCTTTTCTGAGACACACCTACCACCCTGAGCATTGAACCACACACTTCAGATCTACATCTGAAAGTCTGAAACTCTACAGACTGAGCAAACATGGTCCAGTGTTTGTTAATGCAGTGCCATTCATATGCATTAACACTTATATTTGAAAAATTTCAAAATTTACAAAAATACTCTAAATATTATATTACTTAGTTTAAATACTGTATGGTGTGGATGATGTTTGATTGTGACCGCAGGTAATACTACATATGACTGCTTTGGGTATGGGGACATTACATTGTGAAGTATTGTTAAATGATTGTGGCCCAAATAAATGGGTCTGTCTAGCCTCAGACAAATAGACCTACCTTGTGGTGGAGAGGGGTATGTCACAAGGATTGGGCCAGTGTGTCAGTGACAGAGGATAGGGGAGATTTTTACATACCATGCTGACAGATGATATCATAAAACATAGCCAGACATTAACCACTACAGAAAAAGTCTCTTAAAATTTGAGTGTGTTGTCCTGGATCTAGACAAACTTGATAAATGTAGGACATGCATGGACACCTTAGAGATATACAGTCTGTTAATGTCTCAGGAGGCCTGGGCTTCACAATCCTTAGATCCACACTATTAACCTTCTCATGCAACAAATATAAAGACAGGGACAATGTAGCATGTTTAAGGCTTTGTTCTGAAAATGATAATATGGTATGGTGTGTTGTTTTGACATCATGGTCTTGGCATATTAGCATCTAAGAATAGGCGTACAATATTATGTCATGTTAGCATCATAGGCATACAATATTACGTCACTTTACAAAGATGTGTCTCTCTCAACATTATTTTTCATTCACATTGGAATCTTTATAAATCATTCAGCATTGTTTGTCTTATGAATCAGAATCCATAACAGTGTTGTATCTCTATAAGAACATCGAACCAGATACCCTTCCTACTTATCATGCATAAATTTTGTTACATAGATGCATTTTAGGGTGAAATTAGACAAAAGAAATATTCTGATGATTATGACATGTTTTGTAGAGAAATTAGAACTGTATTGTTAGATTTCCTGATTGACATGTGTCTAACTGTAGGAAATACGGGCTGTATTACTATAATATATCACTATAATCACTGACTGTCTACCAGAGTATGTAATTTTCCCACCTGAGGTAATGGATAGGTACACATGGTTCTATGCTACTGATAAACTCTGCTCAGTATTGTCCATTGTGAGGACTTTACAGTTTTGGCGAAGGTCTTAAGGTTGTCAAATTTACTCAAGGGTGCACTCTACGTAAGCAATGTACACACCTCGTTAGTCACAACTTCTAAAATAACGAAATCAAAACAAAAAAAAGAGGTTAGATTTCATTTTTTGTCGTGTGTTGTGCGTACCTGATCGGGTGTCTGATTACAAGTGTGGCTTTACCTGTCGTTAGTTATCTTTGTAAGTACTGGCAGTCAGGATATAGTAACAGGGTAGTTGTAAGTACTCCAAAGTCAATAACAACATCATCTGTACCATCTGGTTTTGTGGAAGGAATTACCTATTCCTTTGTTTGTAAGTAAAACGGGGGTAAGTGTGAGGGTGCATTTCTCAATAACCATTGTGTTTCACCCTTACTTAAAGGTGTGATATTAACATATATACCTGACATCGACAGGTAACTTTAGGATAACTTTGTGATGAAGTATCTATCTTTGGGCAACTTTTAGACTGTCAAGCATTAATTAAGTGAGGCTATATCTGCATTATACGTTTGTAATATACAGATATACCTGTAGCTCGTCAGGTGTGTTTAATATATGCTATTGTAATGATGCATGTGTAATATTTCACAATGTATAAATTACATGGAGATAAATTGTCTCATAGGTAGAAGACATATATATGGAGAAAGTCAAGAGACACCTTGTAATAATTGTGTTCAAGGGTATTAGAGACTTACATGTTTACATATAACAGTTAGGTAAGTATACTTGTATACTTGACTTTTTCAATATCTACGGTCTGCGATTGTCTGTGCCATTGATTGTGACCCAACTTTGTATAAATATAGCACAGACATGACTATCTAAGTGTCAATGTCATGAATGTCGGTTCAGGATAAAGGATTCAAAACTTTCGACATTGGTGTCGTTGTAGACACCAATATATCTGTAAGGACGTAATCCCAACTGGAACTCCTTCTTGCCACAAGTAAGAAAGTATATGTGTAGTATATACGTATATTTATAACTGTTGTTTGAATGGCTTACTGTTTTCCTACCTCGATTCGCTGACCTGTTGAATATTTCATTCTACTGTCTGACCCAGTTAAGGTGTGACAGCTGTTTTAGTTTCAGCAGATGGTAACTCACCTGTGTGGTACTTTCATTTGAAATGTTGATGATGGTTACAGGTGAAATTCTAATTCTGTGTTGTATCAAGGGAAGATTTGAAAGTGACATTGACATGATAATATGGACGGTAAATAAAAATA